TTAAAAAAGCTATAATTAAAGTAGAAGATATAATTAAATTATATAATAAACTATAATAATAACTTAAATTTATTTAATAAAGGATAATTAAATATGTAGATAGAAATAGAATTAAAGGATTGACCTTTTAGAAAGGGGATATAATTTAGTTATACTAATATACACGAGGAAATAAATAAGTAAACATTAAGATAAACAGGCTAAGTAATAAACTTAATTTTAAGAAACTCAGACTTTATAAAATTTTGAGAAAAATTGGAAAAGTAAATTATAAACTTAAACTTCTAGAACGATAGGAAAAACAAGGAAAACATATGCATCCATATGATAAACCAGGTCCTATAGGCACTATAGGTTAGCTATTTCCAAGGGACAAACCTTAGAGTAATTCTATAGTTTATATTAGCGGAGCAATTAGGTTAGTAATAGGTAATCTTATTACCAGCTAGTAATATAAATAAAAGTAGATGTTTATATTTTAATTTAATTATATTATAAACGCTATATTAATAACAACTAGCTATTTAAGTATTTTAATAAGTAATATAAAGTAAATTTATATATTTAGTTAACCTAGATAGGATTAATATATAGGATATTAATCCTCCCCTGGATTAATAAATAATTTATTAATCCGCTATTAAATTAAGAAGTTATATCTTAATCCTTTTTTAATTAATTAAAGGATTAAAGTTAATCTAATCTAGACTAACCTATTAGCCCATTATCGTAACCTTAAAAGTCGGGTTATAATATAATATCCCCCTCCTATTAGTCTTATCCTTAAGACCTTACTATATTTAATATAAGTAGCTACTTCCCCCCCTTTTTTATTAATGTCCTTATTTTTTCCTTATATTTATATATCTTTATTAATTATTATATTAGGTATTCATAAGAAATCTTATCCTAAGACAGAGTATTATAACATTCTTTTAGAAATTATTTTATTTTATCTTATTAAAATAAAAAACTATATATATTATTCTAATAAAAAAAAGTAAAGCTTCTTAAAATATTAAATATTTAAAAAAGATTCTACTTACTATACTAAATATATAAAAAATAATAAATCCTTATGTAATATATATTTATTATCGTTAGCTTAGCTCCGAAAAATTACTTTATTTTATATTTAGTATAAAAATACTTTTAAAAAGGCTAAAGAAAAGCGTAAAATAATTAATATAAAGATTAAACATCTTTATAAACAGAAACGTCTATAGCTAAAGAAAATAACTTATATAGTTACGTAGGGTATTAATAATTTAAAAAAGTTAAATAAGGTTAAATATAAGGAGGTAGAGGCTGCTTACTAAGCTACTATAGTATAATTAGTAAAAGGTTCTTCTAAAGTTATTCCTACTTCTTTAAAATTAGTAAATTATTTAAAGATATTAATAATAAATCCTAAGCTAGCGTAATCCTTAGGCTTTAATAAAGTTTTTCTACTAGCGCTATTAAGTTTTTAAGATACTTAATAAATTCCTATATTTCTTCCTTTTCTTCCCCTTTTTCCTATTATACCCTATAATATTATTTACCATCTTCTCCTATCTTTATTATATTAATATCTTTTACCTTATATTCTTCTTCTTTTTCTTTAATAATAATTTTATCCTAAATAAACCTTCCAGTTTCTTTATTAATTTATACTTTTTTTAGTAGGGAGATATAGAATATTAAATATATATATTTTCCTTATTTTTCCTATTATTCTAAAAGTTCAAGTTTATAATTTACTTTTTTAATTTTTTTTAGAATTTTATAAAGTCTAAGTTTCTTAAAATTAAGTTTATTACTTAGCCTGTTTATCTTAATATTTACTTATTTATTTCCTTATATATATTAGTGTAACTAAACTATATCCCTTTCCTAAAGGGTTAATCCTCTAATCCTATTTCTGTCTACGTATTTAATTATCCTTTATTAAATAAATTTAAATTATTATTACAGTTTATTATATAATTTAATTATATCTTCTACCTTAATTATAGCTTTTTTAATATCTTCCCCTTACCTTAGTAGTTAGTAGGCTTTAAATTTAAATCTATAGTTTAAGAAGAATAGTAATTTACTAATTAATTCTAATTTTATACTATTATATATAAGTTATATAACGGAAAGTAATTCTACCTAATTATTTTACTTAAAATTAATATAATAATATAAATAAATTTTAATTATTTAATAAATCCTTTCCGTTTATTTATCTATTTATAAGTAGTAGACTATACTAGCCTTATAATTTATTCCTAGTCTAGCTGTAAGTATTTTCCAGAATTTAAATATAAATATATTTCCTCTGTTAAAGATTATATTTCCCAGTAATCTATAGCTGCTTATAATATATCTTATTATTATATAAGCTAGTTCTTTTACATTACTAGCTTTTTTAAAAAGTATAAAGTAGGCTATTTTCGTAAGTTTATTAACTATTATAAAGATACTATCGTAAAGTACCCTTATAACTAGTTCTTTTAAAAGAGGTAGTTTAGTAATTAAGTTAAATAAAATTAATTCCTATAATTATTATAGTATAAGTAGCAGTTATAGTTGTCTATATAGCTTATATTTAAAACTTTTAGCTTATTTATATATTATATATTCTAATATAACCTTTTATACCTATTTCTTAATTCCTTTAAATTTAAAGTATTAAGCGACTTATTAAATAGTTTTTTATATTCCACGGTATCCGTTAAATTTATATACATATATTAATTTCACTACTTTACTTCGTAAGTCTTCTAATACCTAGATAAGTCTATCTAGTGTTAGGTATTTAATATTTATAAAAACATTTTCTAAGTATTATTTATTTTCTTAGTTTTTAATATATTCCTTTATATTATTAATAATTAAATTATCTATTTTAATTTAGTATATAGTATTAATTAATTAAATTACTAGGTTGCTATATTAATTCTTTTTTAGTATTTATACTTTTACCTCTGGGATTTTTTAAAAATAGTCTAGATATTTACGAAGTATATTAGCGCATCTGTTATCTAAGCTACTGTAGTATTTAATTAAAAGCTTAAACTTAGAAAGTTACTTATAATACTTAACTTATTTATAAAATAGTTTTTGTATTATTATAAAGTAAGTAATATTCCAGTAATTTATAAAAATTATTACTAAAAATCAACTTCCTTTATAATAGTATCTCTAATACTACTTACTAAGTACTTAGTATATAACTATAAACTCTTTATTATAGATAGGGTATTTAAATTCTAGTTTATTTAATTTCTCTAAGAAATAGGCAATAGGCCTAAGCTTTTTCTTAGGTATATTATCTAATTAGCTAAGTACTCCTCTGATTATATAATCTAAGGTATTAGTTTTAATTATAATAAGTTTATTTAGGTTAAATATTATAAGTATTAGTATACTTATAAGAGCTTATTTAAGGTATTTAAAGGCCGTTAGAGTATTTTATATTAATTTAAAT